ATATTTATATGTTAGCATTTGCATTTGCCATTGTGTTTGTCTTTCCTTTGATTTTATTTATTTATTCTTTTAATAACTTTTTTTTTTTTGGCCTTCTTTCGTTGTTATTTGTCCCTCTGAGGTTCTGGCTTTAGGACTCCTTGTAGTATTTTTTGGAGTTAGGGTTTAGTCGTAAAGAAATTCCAGAGTTTCTGTTTGTCTGGGAAGGTCCTTATTCTTTCTTCATAGAGAAAGGAGAGCTTTGCGGGATAGAGTATTCCTGGTTGGCATCTGTTTTCTTGGAGTCTGTTGACTATGTCCCTCCACTCTCTCTTTGCCCGTAGTGTTTCTTTGGAGAAGTCTGATATCAGTCTGATTGGTTTTCCTTTGAATGTTATCTGTTTCTTCCCTCTTGTCAGCTTCATTATTTTTTCCTTGTCCTGGATTCTTGGGAGATTTACTATTATGTGTCTTGCTGTATTTTTCCTTTCGTCGTGGAAGTTTGGTGTTCTTCTTGCTTCTTGCATATCAATTTTCAGCTCCTTTTTCACGTTTGGGATGTTCTCTTCAGTTATCTCCTTGAATATTTTCTCTGTTCCTACATCTCTCTCCTCTACTTCTGGGATTCCTGTAACTCTTATATTTCCTTTCCTCATGGAGTCAGATAATTCCCGAAGTCTTTCTTTGGTCTTTTTCCTTCGTACTTCTCTTTCCTTTTCTGTTTTGGTTCTTTTTATTTCTGTGTCTTCAAGAGTACTTATTCGTTCTTCCATTTCATCAATTCTGCTTTCATTGCTTTTCCCAGAGTTCTTTAGCGCCTCCATTAATTCTTTGATCTCTTGTATTTCTTTTACTTCCCTCTTTAGGACTCAATTTCATTTTTCTGATCATGTTTATTTTTCCCTTTTCATTGTTTTCCTTTATGATTTCTGTCAGTTTTTCAATCACGGCAATTTTAAATTCTCTTTCTGGAAGGCTCAGAATTTCTTCCAAGTTAGTGTCATTGCAATCTGGGGGGTGGTTTTCTTTTTGTGGTCTGCTTTTTTCCTGAGGAGTTGTTGGGTTGCGTGTGGTTTTTCTACTCCCTACTGTCTGTTTTCTATTTTGCCGTATGCATTGGGACACTGTGTTGCTGGTACTGGCTGGCATCTTGGGCGAACTTCCAGCTCACCGCTGCCTCCTCCAGGAGCCATCTGCCAGTTTCAAGCAGGCTTTACTGAAGAAAGTTCCCTGTTATAAAAAAAAAAAAAAGCGATGCGTGTTCGCACTCCTCTGCATTCCCAGTGTGCCCTGGTCTTGGGTACCTGCTCCCATTCTGGGCTCGGACTGCAGGCCAGAAGGGGCATGGCATGGGCAAACTTCCCAGCTCACTTCTGGCTCCTCTGGGAGCCTTCTGCCGGTTTCAAGTAGTCTTTACTGAAGAAATGTCCCTGTTCTAAAATGGCGATGCTGGATGCACTCCCTGCATGCCTGGTCTGCCCCAGTGGTGGGTTCCTGCTCCCCCTCTGGGCTTGGACTGCAGGCCAGAAAGGGCCTGGTGTGGGTGAACTTCCCAGCTCACCTCTGGCTCCTCCAGGAGCCTTCTGCCATAAACCAGCTTTATTAAGGTATAATTGGCATTTGATAAAATGTTTGAACACTTTTGGACCAATGGACACATACACCCCACCACCACCACCACAGGTCAAGCTATAAAACATCTCCATCACTCCAGAGTGTTCTATAATGCCCCTTTGGAGTCAATACCATGCTCCAGGCCACCATTCACTGAGTAGTATATTATTGCCTTTTGTAGAATTTCATATAAATGAAATCATACAATATTTTTTTTGTAAATCCCAACCTTTTAGCTGGTAGAGAAAGAGCCTTTTGAAGCCATGACTATTGAGTTGTGTGTGTGTGTGTGTGTGTGTGTGTGTGTGTAGGGGGTGGTTTGAGGCAAAATTCACAGAACATGAAATTAACCATTTTCTGGGGTACAATTAATTAATATTTAACACATTCACTTATGCAACAATCAGTTGCCTGATTCAAAAATCTTAGAAGACCATAAACCCAAAGCAATCATTCCCCATTTTCCCTACCACCTCCTCCCTGGCACTCACTATTCTATTTTCTAGGCATATAGATGTACATATTGTGGATATTTCCCATAAATAGAATCATATAATGAATGACCTTCTGAGTCCAGCTTCATTGACTTAGCACGTTTACATTGTTTTTCCAATTCGTAGCCCCTCTCAGAACTTCATTCCTTTATTTCTACTTAATGCTAAGCATGTTCTGTTCTCTGGGTACACCACATTTTCTTTTTTTTTTTTTTCTTTTCTTTCTTTATTTTTTAAAAGATTTTATTTTTATTTACCAAGAACCAGGGTAAGGCCAGACTCGCAGGAGGGTGAAAGGATTCACCAGAGACAGAGTGGGGAACAGAACAGGCAGACTGACGAAATACACTGCTGAGGGAGCAGCAGGCGCGACAGGAGAGGTCTGCTGCACCATGTAGGACCCTCGCCCGCCAGCCTGGAACCAACCAGCGCTGCAGAGGCTGCGGACAGCTTCACAGCACTGCGCTCAACCACCTGTGCCACCAGGGGAGGCCCATACACTACATTTTCTTTCTCTGTTTTCTCTGGGCTATTGTGAGTAGTGCTGCTATGAATATTCATTTATGAGAATCCCTGCTTCCAGTTCTTTTGTACATATACCTAGCAGTATAGTTGCTGCATCATATGATAAGTCTGTGTTTAACTGATTGAGGAACTTCCATACTGTTGCCCACATTGGCTACACACTTAATATTCCTGCCAGCAATCGAGGGGCCTTAGAGTTTCTCCACACCCTCACCAACTTTTATTTGGTTTCTAAATTTTTTTTTCCTAGTAGGTGTGAAGTACGTGGTAATGATTTCATTTCCCAAATGATAGAGATGTTGAGCCTCTTGTGTTTCTTCACCATTTGTACATCATGTTTGGAACAGTATCTATAGATGTCCTTTGCCCATTTTTAACTTGTATTTATTGAAAAAGAAGAGAGTTCTTTATTCTAGAACCAAACCCTTATCAGATGAGTGATTTACAAATACTTTCTTTCAATTTAAAGGTTCTTATCATTCTTTAATATTGTCCTCTCATGGGGTTGAAAATGGGATGGATTTTCATTAGTTCTATATTCTCTAGTTCATCACTTGCATATGGAAACATAGCACATTAATGTGTGTTGATTTTTAAGTAGTCATTTTACTGCACTATTTTAATACCTTCTGGTGGAGTCTTTTGGATTTTCTGTGCACACCATCACATCATCTGCAAATAGTGGTAATTTCACTTTTCCAATTTGAATTCTGTTTGTCTTTCTCTTCAATAATTGCTGTGGCTAGGACTGCCAATATTTGTTGAACAGCAGGGATGAGAGTGGACATCCTTGTCCTGCTCACAATCTGAGGGGCTATCCTTTCAGTTTTCACCACTGAGTCTGATGTTAGCTGTGGGTATGTCATCCATGGACTTTGTTGAGATATGTTCCTATTATTTCCAACTTATTGAAAGCTGTTATCATGGATGGTGGTGGAATCTTGTGAAATGATTTTTCAGTCTGTTAAAATGACCACGTGATTTTTATCTCTCTTTTTGGTGATGTGGTGAATGGCATTGATTGGTATATGTTGAAACAACTATGCATCTCTGGAGTTAAATTACCCTCTTGGTCAGATGGATGATTCTTTTACTAAATATATAAAGTATATGCATTTTATACAAATTATATACATTAAATATTTCTGGATTTGATCTTGCAACATTTCCTTGAGGATTTTTGCATCTATGTTCATCAGGGATGTTGTTCTTTGGCTTACCTTTTTTGAACTGCCCGTGTTTGGGTTGTGAGACCAAGCTAATTTTGGCCTTATAAATTGTGTCATGGAACATTCCTAACTCTTCCATTCTTTTTCTTTAGTTTGAGGGTATGTATTAGATTTCTTTAAGAGTTTGGTAGAATTCTCTAGTGATACCAAATGTTGTAGGTTTTTGCTCTTAGGAGACTTTATTTTTTCTAAAATTTATATAGGGCCTCCCCGGTGGCGCAGCAGTTGAGCGCTGGGTTGCAAAGCTGCCTGCAACCTCTGCAGTGCCGGTTCAATCTCAGGCTGCTCCCCGGCCAACCGAGGAGGGTCCTGCATGGCGCGCAGACCTCTCCTGCCACCCGCTGCTCCCCTCAGCAGTGTGCTTTGGTCCTTCTGCCTGTTCTTCTCCCCGCTCTGGCTCTGGTGAATTCTCTCACCCTCCCGTGCTTCTGACTGTACCCAGTGATTGTATAAATAAATAAAAACAAAAAAATCTTAAAAAAATAAATATATAAAATTTATTTATGTACATATTATATCATTGTTCACTTTTGTACAATGTTTGATTCCTCCTCTCAAGTGTAGTCCCCATACAATTCCCACCACCAATTCACTTGTGCACCACCACCGTAGTCCCTTCTGCTCTTCCCTCCTGTTTTGTTTCCTCTCCCCCCACCCCTTCCTTGAAGGATGTCCCTGATTTATAGTTGCCGGTTAATGTTGTTTATTTAATTATTATTATTTTCCTGGTCCCTTATTTAGTTCCCCTATATTCCTTCTGTAAAGAAAACCATCTGATATTTTTTTTTCTGACTTATTTCACTGAGCATAATCCCTTCCAGATCCATCCATGTTGCTTTGAATGGATTGGGTTTATCTTTTTAGATTGCTGAATAGTATTCCATTGTGTATATATAACACATCTTCTTGATCCAGTCATCTATTTTGGGGCATTCAAGTTGTTTCTATAACTTACCTATTGTAAATTGTGCTGCAATAAACATAGTGGTGCAGGTAGATTCCTAAGGTATATTCCTAGTAGTGGTTGCTGGGACATATGGTAGCTCCATTTTTAGTATTTTCAGAGTCCTCCACATAGCTTTCTATAGTGGTTGGACCAGTTTGCATTCCCAGCAGCACTATATGAGTTATAAGGAAACTTTTGATTACTCTTTCAATTTCTTGGCTTGAACATATTCTTTTCAAGCTACTATTTCATTTCAGTTGAGTTTTAAAAGTTGTATGATTTTAAACATTAGTCCATCTTGCTTCCATGTGCACTTTTACAGTTACCTCTTAGGATCCTTTGCATTATTGTTTTTCCTCTTTCCTTTCTTATTCGTTTATTTTGTTCACACTCTTGTTATTGTAGCTAAGGGTTTAACCATTTTGCTTGTACTTTCAAAGAAATAACTCTTGGTTTCATGGATATTTTGTATAATTTCTTGGTTTCTATATTATTTAATTATGCTCAATTTTTTGTTTTTTACTCATTTCTACTGATTTTTGCTTTCATCTGCTGTTATTCTAGCTCCTTCAATTGTCAAGTTATGTTGTTTATTCATAACTATTTTAACTTATTGGTGTGGACCTGTATTATTATGTACTTCCCGCTTAATACTGCTTTTACTGTATTCATGGGATCCAGTAACTTGTCTCTCTTTATTCACTGGCCTCAGATAATTTTTATTTCTTTGATTTATTATTTACCCAAGCATGATTCAAAAATACTTTGTTTAATCTCTCCATGTTTGGGATATTTCCATATTTATGTAAGTGATTCCTTTCTATTGTGTCTCTTTATTCTACTGTGATCAAAAGGATACATGATGTAATAAATGATGTAAGTTCAAATTCCATATATTAATGAGATTTGTTTTGTGTGATAACCTATGTATCCATGGGAAGTTCCGTGTGTACCTGAGAAGCATAGTATTCCATTTCTTTTGGAATGAAAAACTGTACATGCCTGTGATGTGCATCTAATCCATTACTTAATGAAGGCCGGTGTTTCCCTGTATATTTTCTGTCTGGATTATGAAGTCATAGATGTAAGTGGAGTGTAGAGTTGCCCTGTTACTGTGTTACTGTCAAGTCAATGTGTTGCTTTAGGTCTTTTAATGTTGCTTGATATATTTGGGTGTATCTCTGTTTGGTGCACCAATTCTGAGAACAGATTTAACTTAGTGAAGAATTGTTCTCTTGATCATTACATAATATCCATTTTTGTTATCTTTTTGAGGGGAATTTCTAATTTATGAGATATGAGAGTAAGAGTTCCTGAGATTTTTTTTCTGTCTCATCAGCTTGAAATACCCATCTCTGATGTTTTACTTTAAGTCTGTGTTTGTAATTAGATCTTATGTGAGATTCTTGAATGCAAAATATCGCTGGTTTATACTTTTTTAAATAGCCTGTCATTCTCTGTGTGTGTGTTTTAAAAAGATTTATTTATTTATGTACACAAGAACAGGGGCACAGGGCAGAGGTTCAGGTGAGAGTATTCACCAGAGACAGAGTGGGGAACAGAACAGGCAGATTGACTGAAATACACTGTTGAGGTGAGCAGTGGGGGAGTCAGGAGAGGTCTGCTGCACATGAGGGTAGCTCCCTGGCCGGGAAAGGAACTCATGCTGCAGTGGCTGCCGATAGATTCATAGGTTGTGTCTTAACCCCTTACACCACCAGGGAGGCCCTCATTCTGTGTTCTGTTCAGACTGCTCACATTGAAGAGTATCACTGATAATCTAGTGCCATTCTATTTGTTTTTCATGTGTTTTACAGTATGTTTCTTCTCCCACATCTTCCATCTACCTTTTCATTTGCATGGCTTTCCCTGGTGTTTATCTCAGTCTTTTCATTTCTCAAACTAAATGTCTCTTCTGGTAATAGTATTCCCATGTGTCTCTCTGACGCATAGGTTAGATGACGCATTTTCTTCAGATTTCAAACTAATTGAAGCAATGAATCTGTCAATGAAAACCAAAAGGGAACCTGGCTGCCTAAGTCTTAGAAAAGAGACATGTTTAGAATTATTTAAAAAAATGAATTCTCCAAAGAGCCAATCATTTTAAAAATGTTTGCAGAACATTATACTGTTTATATCCAGAAAAACTTTCAGGGAATTGTCATTTGTTAAGAAACAAAAAGTGATTAGTATAATTTTGCCAGAGTATAAAATGAATCATATATAGATAGCTGATTCATTTGTAAAAATCTTTACATGATTGTTAGCCTATTCCATGTAAAAATAAAACAAAACCCACAAAGCTGATATAATCTATTACTTGCCGAAGAATGTGCTAGTTGCAGAGAGACCTGGGAAGTGAGAAAGTCCTCGGATGTTGTTTGCTGGCTTATTTTATTCCCAGGGTTTATTTGCTACACAGACGTTAACAGAATTCCAAATTAAAGAAGTCAGCTGTCTTGAGGTTAATTCTGGTCCCCAATGAAATAAAAAATATGGCATAGATGCCATCTGGATGCTAAGTAAAACTGGACAAAGAAGGTATTTTTTGCACATTTTACTCATGTTGAAAATTTGTTATTCTCTGTGGGACAGAGCTCAAGTTCACGAAAAATTGGAAAACTGCAAGACGTGTTGAATAAACCTTTTGTTCAGACACAATGTATTGTAAAAGGACAATAATAGATGAGCATGGCCCCAAGCAGGGTGTTCCATGTGGAGCAACAGTGACAAAGTCTGAGTGTCTTGAGGTCTTCAGCGGGGCACGGTCACTGATGCTCTCCCTGCGCTGCCAGCTGGCCTAGTCTACCCTCTGTGAGGGACCAGACAATGGAGGATGCTCAAGCACCTAAAAAAAGGCCCATGAGGTCTCTGCCATTTCTGTTTGCAAGTTCTGTGTGGTAGGTCTCTGTCAGAAGCCTCTGTGTCTTATGATTGGGTCTCAGGGGTGGGGGTGTGTCAGAGGCCTCTGTGTAGCTCATCAAAGAACTATTCAGGGTTCACTTTGGGTCTGTCAGTGGTGTCTGTGGGAATCTGTCATGTGCTATTTAGGTCTGTGTCACTTTCCCTGCAGTTGTCTCAATTTCTGAGGTCTCATCTTGTCCCCTGGGAGCTGTCCTTGGTGGCAAGGAAAGACGAAGAGGATATGAGAGTCCCTATTGAGTTCCCCAGTCCCATCAGATTTTTCAGAGGTCCTTCAAGAGGGACATCACACTTCCCTGGTGGAGGGCTTTGCTTCTCTGGGAACTTGACCGTCTCTGAAGAGCTGCAGGTGGAGAGTCTCCTCTGGATGCCAGTGGTAGCCTGTGTGGGGACTATGAGGGGCCATGCTGAGTTGCTGGGCCCCTAGTGTCTCCTTCCTAATGTCTCTGCTTGTAGAAGGCAGTGAGATCCCCAGACTGGGTCACTGGACTATATCTGAGCAACACTTAGCCCCCTTGCTCCCTACACTCTCCACCCACTCTGTTCACTGTGTGCCACAGTCACGTGGGAACTGCACATAGTTTACTCCTGCTCCAACCCCAGGAGGGCCATCCCTCCACTGGGCAGGTGGACATGGTTCACAGCACCTCTCCCGATTACCCATCACACCCCAGCATTTAATCCTCAGTCCTTGACATCAAAGAGAGAGGGGCCATGGGCAGGGGTCATGTATTCTCCCAAAGACATGGGGTCAGAGTTCTACCATTTCCAGGCTCAAGGCCAGCACCCTCCAACCCAACACTCTGCAGCCATCTCCCACACTTTTTGAAGCCTGAGAGGAATTTCCACCTCATCACAACCCTCCCCAAAACAGCACCAGTTCAAGCAGAGAGAAATCAGGTAATGATGCCCAGTTCACCTTCTGGCCAAGGTTTAAGAAACTTGCTCATCTTGGCAACTTCTACCTGTTTTCCTCTGTTCTTTCACAAGGGTAATGTAAAATCCTAGGGTGCATTGAGGGCCCAGGGTAAGGACAGGTTTTCCCCATGGTGGTCAGCCTCCACCCTATGTGCCACCCTATTGAAGTCAAAGCAGGCCCTCAGAAGAGTAGACTCTGAACCCTGCCCTTTCCCCTAAAAAGGTGCAGATCATTTTGTATGAGAACATACATGTATTTGATGAAATAAATGTCATGATAAGTGAGGTCCCTAGCATGCAGAGGATGTGCTGTTATGACAAAGCAGATTTCTGCTGCATGTACTGAGGATTTTCTTGGACCTTGTGTGTCCCCACTAGGATTTTCTCCCTGTGTATTGCACAGTGAACTGTCAGAGGCCAAGGTGTTCACAGCAAGAAGCACATTTATGTGAGAGTCTGGGAGGAGAATGGCAGTGGTATAACCTTGGAGGAGCATACCTGTGCTGTAATCCTGTAAGAGCCCCTCAGTGTAGGAGCCTTTAGGGAGCACTTTGGTGGCATGGCCTTGAGGCTGTTTCTATGTTTCCACTTTCCCTGGGATCTCAAACTGACTGGCAACTTTTGTTTTAAGGTTGGCTCTTTTGGATTTGGGGCAGTAGATGCTGTAGGTGTTAAGAAGCTATCATTGGACCCAGAAGACTGTGAGCTCTTCAGATTCACCTCACCAGTTGGGGCACTGTGTGGCTCACTGGGGCCCAAGATGACTTTCCAAGCGGGGACTTCCTTGGTTTCCATCAACTTCAAGTCTTTTTTGATCATCAAATATTTGGCCTCTAAGTTCCTCTTCAGCATTGCTATCTTCTGGGACAGGTCTGGTGTGATTGGACCCCCAGTCTCCTCATTCACTTTATTTGTGGTCATTTCTGTACTTGGAGTGGCTCTAGGTTGCCCATCTCAACCATTAGCACAGTCTCACTCTGCAAGGTCTCCTCACGGGGCTGGAGACGGACGTCTGAGAAGGTAGCCTGTCCTCTCCAAAAAGAACCTTTGAGGGCCCCTGGCCATGGACTCATGGGGTCCCTCCTGCAGCCTCTTGGTCCCAGATTCAAAGGTGACTAAACAGCATGATACAGGCCTTGGAAGAGACAGTGATTGAACCTCACAATCCTTGATATTTATGTGTTTGGAGGCCTGGGGGTAAAAGCCCCAATTCCGCCTTATCTGAAACCTGATCATTTGTGTTCCCAGCTCCTGTCCAGCACGTGGACTGAGGAAAGGAAGCTCGTGGGAGGGGTTCATGCAACTTGCCCAACCCTTCAAGGGTGCTAGCTGTATGGGTTCCCTCTGAGTGTTGGGTATGGATGAAGCAAGGCTGGTGGCAAGCAAGGATCGACGCACAGTGACGGAACAAACCCTCGCTGATCTGCCCTAACTTCTTGCCCAGCTGGGTGTTCAAGAATTTTTCTAATTGTTTCCCCTCTGGGCCCCTGGACAAGCAACTTCCTGAGTCACTCATTACGGATATCACTGGGTGTCTTTGCAGCTCCTCAGAGCTCACTGGGAAATAACCAAGCCTTTGCTTTGGTCTTTGGGGATCCTCCTCACAGACTGACATAGACCCTTGTCTAAATTCTTTCTTGGTAGGATACTGAGTCAATTCTTCATGTAGGACGTCCTAGGGAACCCGCAGCTTGTCTCCTGCACATCCCAACTATTTTAGTGTGACAACCTGGATGACAATGAGGGCTGCTGCCTCCCCAGTGCATGACTCAACCCTGGGAGTTCTCCCCAAGGCTGCATTGCTTCCACAGCCTGGATTTTGCAGGGCAAGCTGTCCTGATGGTCACCTCTAGGCAGCCAATCCTGCAGATGTGGTGCCTGGAGATTCTCACTAACAAAATCCCTCTGATGGGCACACACTGAATGGTGGGCCTGGAAGGTGAAGCTATCCTGGAAAAGCCTGGCAGGGACTTGTTAACCACTTGGTCAGAGATTTGGACCACAGGAGATAAAGACATCCTTTCTCATGGCCTGTGCCACATGGATCATTCGAGAGATTGAATTTTAATTGAGACAAAGACTTGTGCCTTGTCCATAGGAGTAGACACCCCATAATACCTAATCTGGAGTGGAGAAAAAGGTGGTTGGATTTGGAAATTGGGTGTGTTACAGGCCTGGGTCTGAACCAGAGCCATTAGTGGGGTCTGGGACTGGAGCAAGTTTCCAGCCAAAGATTGTAACTGGACCTAGGGTGAGGCCTGAAAGTGGCCTGGGAACGATTTGAAGGCATGATGAGCTGACTGGGAAGTGGAAAACATTTAGGGTTTCCAATGAGTAAAACAAAGGAAGCCTGTGTTTGAGATGTGATGCCCATGACCAAAGCAGTAACCACAAGGGACTAACTGTGCAGCAAGGGAAGTCCCCAGCAACGCTGACTGCATTTCTGGTGTTAATAGTCCCCCATGGTCTGGAGATAACAGAACTCGCTGATGATTGGACAGTTGCTCCACTTTGTCTTCCTTGTTCTAGATTAGTGGGGAGAATGTAATGCCCTCCTAAAAATTCAGGTAGTAGACTGAACTTGTTTGTTTTGGAAATGACCCATGGTTTCTTTTTCTTCCCAAATATTCAGTTATTTTCTTTTGCTGATTAAAGCCTCCAGCAGCTTCTGAACATCAAGGATGACAAATGAGGGACTGCCAGTCTCTACCTGCCTGTTTGTGGGGCCTCCCCAGAAAGAAGTCCCTGATGGCTGTTGGGGCAGGTGCTGTGGCTGGGGCTTGCACACTGAGGAGGCCGGGAAGAATGAGACCTTGGTAGTTGCCCACCACCAGGAAGACAGCCAAAAGGCCCAATCCTGCCATGGCTGTCACTGGAGAGGCCACACAGGCTTTCCCTGTGTCACCTGGAGGTGAGCTCTTTGGGATGGTGTCCAGTGGGATTCTCTTTGAATTACATTCATCATATTGAGGTTTTACTGACCAGATGGTGGTCATGGCAGAAGCAGGACCTTTCACTCATGAGCTGTGGACCCTGGCAGGTGCTGCTTTGGGGTCTTGATGAAATTTGCCCTTATCAAGGTGTTTCTCCAGGTGACTGCAGGACACAAGAAGCACAAGTTGCAGGTATGAGTAGAGGGATCTGAGGATCAGCCAGGCCAGAGAAACTGTTGCCCCCTGTAGCCTCTACTGCCCCCATGCTGACTCATAATGTACTTGCTGTCCTCACTTACATCCTCCAACCTCCACCTGCCTCAAGTCTTGAGCCACATCCTAGCCCTAGGAACCCTGCCCTCCTCTCCAAATCAATGTTAGGTTGCCTGTGGCATTGTACCCCAGCTCTGAGTGGACACATAAGGGAAGAATCTTTACCTCTGTGGAAGTAAACCCAGGATTTTATCTTCCTCCAGTTCTGTCTGCAATGGTTTACAAGCTGTAAATCAATATGCTGGGTCACATGGTAAAGGGAGGGGCCAGGGAGTCTAATAGGAGGCTGAGGACCACATGCTTTAGGAGACCTTTGGGGGATTTGACCTTAGAGTCAAAGGTCACCTGTTTCCTGACCATGAGGGCAAGACTCAAGATGGGGGCTTGTCATTTGCAAAGCCATTTTGATCCTGAGGCCTTGTCACTGCTCTGTGAGGGAGAATAGGTAGGGCCTCCAAGAGAAATCTGAGCAGGTTAGACAACTTGATTCCAGGTAACCTGGGGGACACACAACCCAGGCCAGGCCCTGCTGGTCCATTCCCCCTGTATGTCTCTGTCGACAACACACATTTCCAGGCCCGTCTTGGCCTCCTCTGAGCCTGGAAAATGGGAGGTGTCAGGGTTTTGTCCTTCTCAGGAGCCTCTGTTAAGACCTGATAACCTTGGAACTGGGAGCTGTGACTCAGGGACAGGAGAAAGGGGGTAAATCTAACCTCCAGCCTCTCACCTTTCCAAGCTCCATGTTTCTTTCTGCTCCTCTTCCTCGCCTTCCACTGCATTTGTGGCTGAGACAGGAGGAAATACAAAAAGGAACTGGCACCCGTTTCTCCCTGTCCTCCCTCTAGATCAGCCCACAGATGTTTAGTGCTCACTTACGACTTTCTGCCTTTAAGCCAATGAAGCCTTTGGTTTCATTTCCTTCTACTCTATTCTCAAGTGGATAGATATATTTTCTGCCTGCCTTCCTTGGAGATCGCAAGAAGGGATCTCTGTGTGAGACCAACCACAGATCTTTCTTGGTCCTCAAGAAACACAAATCCTCAGCCCTCCTGCTGAGCTCCCTCAGGTCAGGTAGGACCTGCTTCCTGAGTCCTGCCCAGAGGCTCCCAGGGTCTCTGCACTGCCCCTCCTCCCCCTCAGCCTCAGCAGAGGAACTACTGCTTGGCCTGGCTTGTCTCTAGCATTCTGAGATTCTGTTCTTTTGAGAAAAGATCATCTGTTCTCTCCCCTCCCAGCAGTCTCTCACATTGATTCTAAAAAGTGGAAACATTAGGACAATCCTGTTGAATTGGATGTGGCCCAAGAGTTTCTTACCTTCCTGATATCTCTGTCCTTCCTAGGAGGTGGTAACAATGGAGTACCCTGGAGAAAGGGAAGTAGCATGATGGAGATGATATTAAACTCCCAAAAATAGAGCTGGAGCTCAGCAGCTAACAGTAATGCTTTTCAGAGAACAGAGAAAATTCTTCATGATCTGAATCGCACAGCTGCTCTTGAGCAGGGGGGAAACTCAGGGACTTAAATCCCAGCTCTGCATCACAGAGGTGACTGTGTCAAAAAGGACTCCTGACTGCAGGGGAGAGCCCAGGAGAGGATCAGGTAGGAATATGGCCCCTCCCCCAGGGCACAGCCCTCCCTACATCTTCCTGGGCCTCCCAGACCTTAATTTTTTCTTCAGTACATCCAGTTTAGATTTATTACTTGGTTCCTAGCAGCTCTTGGAGATCTTGGCTTGAACCCATCAATTTCATAGACTTTAAAATTCTTAGGTTCTTACAGCAATTTTGACTATTTCTGGGAGTTTTACTTTCAGAATCCTATCTGTCTTCAGCTCCATTTTTCATGTCATGTATTTTTTTTTTCATAGAACATTAAAGTTCTACTCTTGTAAAATTAAATTTGTACTATATAGTATTATCACTTATAGATACCATGTTTTACATTATATTCTCAGATTCCCCTTATAACTGAAATTTTTTACACTTCTACTAACCTCTCCCTATTTCCCCCACCTTTTGCCTCTCACAATCATTCCATCAGTCTTATCCTGTGTTTCTATGAGTTCACCTTTATGTGATTCCACATATAAATGATGCCTTGCAGTGTCTGACTTTCTCCTGGCTTCTTTTACTTAGCAAAAATAAATAAGCTTTGCAGACTCATCTGTGCATTGAAAATCTCAACTCCATTATTCTTTTTATTTTTTTTATTTTTATACTTCCCATACAATTGTAACTCCCTGATTTTGACCCCAAACCCTCCTTTCCCCGCCCACCCCAAAGTGTGTCTCTGGTTCATAGTTGTTTGTTGATTTTGATTTTTTTCTTTCCTATATTTATTCTTTTTCCTGGTCCCTTATTTAAGTTTTCTAGATTCCTGCTATGAGTGAGGCCATCCGGCATTTTTCTTTTTCTTTCTGGCTTATTTCGCTGAGCATGATCCCTTCCAGCGCCATCCATGTTGCTGAAAATTGCATGTGTTTATCTTTTTTGAATGCTGACTAATATTCCATGGTGTAGATGTACCACATCTTCTTGATCCAATCATCTAGTTTTGGGCATTTGGGTTGTTTCCAAAGCTTAGCTCTTGTAAATTGTGCTGCTATACACATAGGGGTGCAGGTGCTCTTTGGAATTGATGTTTCTGTGTCCTTTGGGTAAATACCTAGGAGTGGAATTGCTGGATCATATGGAAGCTCTATCTTTAGTTCAACTCCATTATTCTTACATAGATGTTTTACTTTCATCATCCCAGCAATAGAGCTTTATTTTATATTTATTTTTAATTTTTGATATTTGAGTTATTGTTTCCATTTATCTTTCACATCTTCACTCAGAATGTGTGACACAAATTCAAACTAATGACTTATTATTTGAAATTCACAAAAATAAATAAATATCATGGAAGAATAAATAAACCACCCAACGATATTTCATGTTAGTAGCATTTTTTCTTTGGGACATGCTGTACACCTCCCCTTACTCACTCGCCCCCACACACATACCCACACAGACATGGATGCATGTATATACATGAACATACACAGACACAAACACATTTGTATTCAAATCCATGAATTACCATTTCCTCATGTTTTGGCCTTGACCTCATTTTTCTTATTCTTCCCCAAATAGCCTTCATTCTCCAGAATTTAGCAACATCAATGTCACACCAAGAAGCCAGGAATGGATTAGGGTGAGGAAAAGTAGTGATCTTTTTTTCAATTTTTGGAAAGAAAATCACAATTTATTCACCGATTAATCTTTTTTTTAACTTTATACATCTTTTACATCATTATTCCTTTTTGTACAACATATGCTTTCTCCTCTCAGATGTAGTCCTTGTATAATTCCCACCACCAATTCACCCGTGCACCATCACCATAGTCCCTTGTGCTCATCCCTCCCCTGTTTTGATTCCTCTCCCTCCTCCTCCCCTGCAGAATGTCTCTGATTTATAGTTGCCTGTTAACTTGTTCTTGTTATTACTTTCCCCCGATCCCTTGTTTCGTTCTCCTATATTCCTCCTATAAATGAAATGAAACCATACAATGTTGTTTTTTTCTTTCTGGCTTATTTCGCTGAGGATAATCCTTCCAGCTCCATCCATGTTGCTGTGAATGGCATGAGTTTATCTTTTTTGATTGTTCCATTGTGTGTGTGTGTGTGTGTATACCACATCTTCTTGATCAATTCATCTATTTTTGGACATTTTGGTTGTTTCCTATATTAATTATTGTAAACAGTGCTGCAATAAACATAGGGGTGCAGGTATTCTTTGAATTAATGTTTTTGTGTCCTTTAGGTAGATTCCTAGGAATGGAATTGCTGGATCATATGGTGGCTCCATTTTTAGTAGTTTACAGAACCTCCACACAGCTTTCCATATTAGTTGGACCAGTTTGCATTCCTACCTGCAATAAGGGAGAGTTCCTTTTCTCCACATCCTTGCCAATATTTGCCATATTCTGTTGTTGTTGTTGTTGTTGTTGTTTTAATATGTGGCATTCTCACTGGTGTAAAGTAGTATCTCATTGTGGTTCTCTGCATTTCCCTGATTACAAGTAATGTTGAACATTTTTTCATATACCTTTTGGCCATTTTCTTTTCCTCTTTGGAGAAATGTCTTTTTAGCTCTTCTGTCCATTTTTTGACTGGATTGTTTACTTTGTTGAGTTGCTTCAGTTCTTTGTAGATCTTTGTGATCCTTCTCTTATCAGTAGTATTGTTTGCAAAGATTTTCTCCCAATCAGTGGGGTGTCTCTTTGTTTTGGTTAATGTCTCTTTTGCTATGCAGACACTTTTTAGTTTGATGTAGCCTTAGCTGTTCATCTTTTCCCTCACTTTCTTAGCTTTGGGGGATATGTCTTTAAAGATGTTACTGAGATGTACTTATCTTTAAGAGATTATATTGGGGCCAGGAAACCAAGGTCTGGGTTTTAGTATTGTCTTAGGCAGCCTTATGTGATATCTCTTGTGTTCTATACATTTTTCTTTTGGTAGGGAGTGTGTCTCTTGCCCTGTCTCTTCTGTCCCCACTAGACCTATGGAGCCCAAGGCTCTCCTGTACTTCAGGAGAGGGCTTTTTGAGTCTACAAGAAATCCTTTTGTGACATCATTGGATATCCTTTGGGCAGCAGGAATTGGGAATTCATATAGAGATTGTGTTTTTTAATTAATACAACCACAATTTCTTAGTGCTGAAAATGTAGGTTAGAAAATAATGCATAGGGTCTCCCCTGGTGGCACAGTGGTTAAGCGCTGGGCTGCGAAGGTGCTCGCAGCCTCTACAGTGCCGGTTCAATCCCCAACCACCAGCAAGTGTCCCACATGGTGTGACAGACCTCTCCTGCAGTGCCCGCTGCTCCCCTCAGCAGTGTATTTTGTGGGTCTGTCTGTTTTATTCCCTGCTCTGGCTCTGATGAATTCTCTCACCCACCGGCGCTTCTGACTGTACCCAGTGCTTGTATAAATAAATAAAAAAATTTTAAAAAATGTATATTTTCTGTTTGTCACAGAGTTCCAATGTGAATGAGAGCATTTGAGTATATTTGAATGTATGGTCACAAAAGTACTTGTTAAAATACATCTTTGAGGACTCCCTGGTGGCACAAGGGATTAAGACACAACCTATGAAGCTATCCGCAACATATGCAGCACGAGTTCGATCCCCAGCCCACCAGGGAACAACCCACATGGTGCAGCAGACCTCTTCTGACTCGCCCACTATTCCCCTCAGCAGTGTACTTGGGTCGATCTGCCTGTTCTCTTCCCCACTCTGTCTCTGGTGAATCCTCTCACCCTCCACATATCTGGCCTGTAACCTAGCTCTTGTATGCATAAATAAATAAAAATCTAAAAAAAATTAAAAAAATACATCTTTAGCTTCTACTGTTGTTTCTATACGTCTACAAATCTCTTTATCCTTTTTGGATCATCACTGAGACATTATAGTCCCCAATGTGGACAAACAGATTGCCAAAAAATGATAATTGGGGTTCCCTGATGTTGACAATTAGGATGAATAGTGTATAGTTGGGTACCAGTTGCTGTTTCATTTGCAGGGGAACTTAGCACACACAACTCCTGAAACCTTTGTAATTTCCTCAGAGATTAGAGCCTAGGCACATCATTTGTTCTAATATGTGACTTTGACCCCCATTCCTGATAAGGGCTCCAGAAGCTCTTGTAATTTTCTGGGTGACAGGAGTGTCTCTTCTTCTATTGAGGCAACTCTGGGTGGGTTCTTGAGTGGCATCTGAATGGGGACCTCTTCCCCCTTGGATTTGATTAATTTGCTAGAACAGCTCACAGACCTCAAGGAAACATGTTTACCAGCTTATCAGAGGATACGATAAGGATACTCATGAACAGTCAGATGATGAGACACATTGAGTGGGGTCTGGGAGGGCCCCAGGCCTCCCTTTTGTCCCCGTGGGGCTGAGGGTGTCACCTTCCCAGTGTGGATGTTTTCATCAACCTCTAAGCTCTTCCAATTTTCCTTGTGAAGGTTTGCTCAGAGATATGATCAACTATTAACTCTATTTCCAGTCCTTCTCAATAGAATTGGGGTTGAGTCTGAAAATTTCAAATTTATATCATGGTCTGATTTTCCTTGAAACCAGTTTCCATCCATGAGCCCATTCAGAGTCTCATTAGAACAAAATAAGCTCCTATTGCTCTTATCTCTTAGGAATTTGCAAGGATTTTAGGAATTCTGTGTCAGAGACAGAGTCAAAGAAAAATGATAGAATAAGAGATGCTGCTTATATTTAAGAAATTATAATGATTTCAGGAATTCTGTGCCAAGAACTGAGGGTGCAAACTGATATATCTATATCAGGAGCCATCAACATGCTTTCT